CCCCCCCCCCCCCCTCTATTTCTAACCTTACCACTGCTGCTGTTGCAGCTGTTACATTGTCGCAATCTCCATCTACGCCCCTCCCCTCTGCTTTGTCCTTACCATCGCTACTGTTGCATCTGCTGCCACCTGCTGTTGCCGCACAATTATTTCCCGAGAAGGCTAGCCTTGAGACGACAGCGAGAGGAGCTGCTGGCACGAGAGGTGGTGTTGCCCGAGGAAGTGACGCTGGCTGAAGACGAGAAAGACGCCGCGCTTGCCGAGGCGAGGCAGCGTGGCGCGATGCACAACTCTCTCACTCGCTACGCCGCCAAGGTCGGTTGGATCCTGCATTTTCTCTTGATTGAGCCCTCGGACACTTCTTGAGCCGTGTTTTTCAGTCGTTTTTGGTCAACGAAAAAAATGACCGTACATCGATTCATATGTGTTTTCTGTTCCAGCATGGTCGATTTTCATACATCAATTATTTGCAAGGACCGATTTTTATTTACTTGACAAGGTAGATGGAGGGCAAAGAAAAACGGACCTGCTGTTGTATGGCCTTCCTCTGAGTATGATCCCAGCTCGTTCGTCCATGTAGACCATGGTGTGCACCCGGGAGGTGTCGTGTGTTACGTTTTGTGCGTGTTTTTTCTTGGGGACTCCTGATGGAGTTTGGGTTGGTTTGTCTCCCAAGCGTCCCAATGTACGGCTCTATCGGTCCCATTCTTCGTTTGCTGAGATGTTCGGCGGTAGGGGTGGAGGGGCTAGAAAGTCTCTGCTTGGTTCTTGGTTTTTGTCCGGATGCCGCGCCGTACGTGTACGACGTGTACTCGATGCTGTGTGAGGCGTCAAGACTTTCAGTTGCATGGAACCCCATCGTTCTGTTGCAAGCGGGGCTACGTTGATGTAACGGTACAAAAAATGGTACGTGTGGCGGTATCTAGCACCGGGTCGATGTTTCTCTCGTCTCCCTTTGGAACATCTCATCAAGAAAGGAAATAGTAACAACACCACCCGGCCGTAATCTTGTTTTCCTCGGGACATCAAGTGGCTCGATCCCACCAGCCCAACCCCAACCCAACTCAACCGCACATGCTCAAAACACCTCAATCTGCGCCGCCACCCTCTTCCTCCACAACACCATTCTTTGATTCGTTCTTGCTCCGCTCCCTCCACGCCACAAATTCAAATTGCTACCCGCCGTCGTGTGTTTCCTCCGCCCCCCCGTCAGGCGGTGCCGACGATACTCTCCAACAGGATGGCGGGCGGCACGCGCTTCGGCGGCGGCCGGATCGCGGGGCGCGTTCCGCTCCGCGGGGCCTCTTCGCGGCTGCTCGACGACCGCATGCGGCCCCTCATTACGGCCAACGGACACGGGGTGCACCCGGTGTTCTGCATCAAGTTCGACCGCACGGGGCAGTACATCTTCACGGGGGCGGACGACGCGCTCGTCAAGGTATGTAATCGTACCGTCGTGTTTTGTCTCCATTCAGAGGGTAAGTCTCTCTTGGTTTTGTTCTTGTCTGCTAGAACGGCTGTACACGAGGCTGTCACTTTGAGTAGTTTCTTCGCATCTTTTTTTTCTTCTGCTACCGACTTCGCTAGACCCTTTGAAGGGCTGGGTACGCGGGTGATGTGTCCTGGGGGGGGGAGGGGACGTACTCTTATGTTTTGCATGCCTTAGCGGTTTGACCATTGACCACGCGTCCTCGAGAGGACGGAGCATTGTTCCCACAGGACCGATCACCGATGGCCAATCGTTCCTTTCTACTTTGCCAAAGGTGGCTCAAAAATCTCTTCCCTAGTCTGTCTATCCTAACGATATCCCTTCCCGCCTTTTCAACCCACCTCCTATGCCCCACTACAGCTACCGTCCTTTCCTCTCTATTCCATGCCTCAAACATCTCCCTG